TTGTATTTTTAGTAGAGATGGGGTTTCACCATGTTGCCCAGGCTGGTCTCAAACTCCCGGCCTCAAGTGATCTGCCCACTTCAGCCTCCCAAAGTGTTGGGATTACAGGTGTGAGTCACAGTGCCTGGCCTGAATATTTTTTAATGTAATAATTTTCTCATGCACACCAATTTAATGAAAGACATAAAACTCATAATTTACATAAAAATTGCTGGCCGCTGGAATTTTACAAAGTAATGTTGCATAACACAAGAATACACATACATGCATCATTAGGGACAAACCCACCTAGCTCAAAGAATGACAGGTAGTTTTAGAGCACCTGAGATTACAACGCCTCATCTACACTTGGCTCTTAATAAATGGTACTGGCTTTGTGATGTAAGTATTAACAATGAAGAAAACCCAGGCATAAATTTAAAATGATAAATACTGGCTTCATTGTGTCAGATACTGACTATTATCTAGTAATGGAACTGCTTATTTTCTTGAGGGCTATAAAGACTCCAAAAACCCACAGGAATTAATGCTCAGCCATACTCCATTTTGTGTCAGCAGGAGAGAAAAGATTTACAAAGACAAACTATTGTATAACAGAAGACAATGAAAATATTACAAATTCAAAACTAGAGAACAGATACATATAATTGTCTCTACTAAATTCTAAATTGAAACTGAAAAATTAAACCTTATTTCAGACTAGGAAGTATAATTACAGTTTTCTTTGCAGCTATACAAAGATGATCTTAAAAGCTACCATTGTAAGAATGGTTTTAAGAATTCAAAGATACTTTCACACTAAAGAAATACAAACAAAACTGCCATAAACACTACTGTTTGCACTACACAAAATAAGTAAATGAAAAGTGTGTTACCTTTTACTGGTGCACCATCCATTATTTCATATTTGGCGATTGTTTCTGTTTCTGTTGTGGTACTGGGTCCTAGTGCAATAATGTAAATAACATTAATTTAAATATTCCAGAATATAATTACTAGCCTTATGCTTTCTTATTTCTCTACTATATATATATATTTTTTTTTAGAGATGGTATCTCGCTGTCACCCAAGCCAGAGTGCAGTGGTGCAATCATGGCTCACCGCAGCCTCAACCTCCTGGGCTTAAGCAATCCTCCTGTCTCAGCCTCCCAAGTAGCTAAGACTACAGATATGTGCCACCATGTCTGGTTAATTTTTCAATTTTTGTACAGATGGGTTCTCAGTATGTTGCCCAGGCTGGTCTTAAATCCCTGAACTCAAGCAATCCTCCCACCTAAGCCTCGCAATTAGCTGTTAACTATAGGTGTGCACTACCATGCCTGGCTAATTTATGTGTTTTTGGGGACAGGGATGGGGTTTCACCATGATGCCCAGGCTGGTCTCGAACTCCTTGGGTTCAAGTGATCTGCCTGCCTCAGCCTCCCAGAGTAGTGGGATTATAGGTGTGTGACCGCACCTGGCCAACAATTTCTTTTTAAACAACAAAGGAGAATTTGAAGTTTAGGTTTTACTATTTTAAAATCACTTAAATTTACTAGCAGGTAGAAACATGAAGATTAAGAAATCACATATGGGGGTACATGTTCTCAGGACCTCTTGAGATTGTGCCTTGGGTAAGAATTTTATTTAAAAATAATATTAATAAAAGAAATCACAGATGTTTTAAATTATGAATATTAACTATATTTTAAATTCTTATAAAGTGCTGCCTAGAATTATTTTCACCAAAAAAACCAACAGCGTTAAAGAGGACAAAGTAAATTTACATATTAAAATTAAAAAGCAGGATGAACCAATAAATGCTATCAAGACAACTGCTCAGCCACCTGGAAAAAAGGAAAGGTGATACATACCTCACATGTTACATCACAACACATTTCAAATGAATTAAAATTTCAAAAACAAAACAAAATCCCCAATGTATTACTTAAGTAGAATCAAACACAAAAAATTATTTTTAGAACTTCAATGTGAAAAAGATCTTTCTAACCATGGCATAACACCCAAAGTCCATAAAATGAAAAACTAATAAATTTGACTTCATAAACATCTAGAACTTCTACATGGCATAAAATACCACAAACAAGACAAACAAGGAAAATTTTTGCTACCCTTAATATTAGAAAAAGGAATTGAGGGCCCAGTGGCTCACACCTGTAATCCCAGCAATTTGGGACACTGAGGCAGGAGGATCACTGAATCCAGGAATTCAAAACCAGCCTGAGCAACATAGTGACAGCCTGTCTCTACAAAAAATAAAAAATTAGCTGGGTGTGGGGGGATGCACCTGTGGTCCCAGCCACCCAAAACGCTGAGGTCGGAGGACTGCTCAAGCCCAGGAGTTCAAGGCTGCAGTGAGCCATAATTGTAACATTCCACTCCAGCCTAGTGACAGTGTGAGACCCTGTCTCAAAAAAAAGGTGGAGGGGAAATGATTTCTCTAATATATAGTTTCTACACATAAGTAAGAAAAGGAATATAATAGTCCAGTAGAAAACAGGGCAAAGAATATGAATGGCTGACAGAAAATAAAAATTGTTTTTATTCACATGATGTTCATCCTCAATAAGAAAACTGAAAATTAAAACTACAGTGGAATACATTAATTAGCTTGATTGTGGTAATCCTTTCATAATATATACATTCCATCATACACAGTGAATATATACAACTTTTATTTGCCAATTATACCTCAATAAAGCAGTGGGAGAAAAAGAATCCATAAGAAAAATCTCAAAACTGCAATGGAGTACTATCTTGCCCTTACCCATTAGACTGGCTGAAAGTTTTTACAGCACTGTGCTCATGAGAATATGGAGGAAAAGAGGCACTCTCCTACATTCATTGCTGATAGCAATGCAAACGGGTATAATCCCTAAAGAGGTCTTACTGATAACATGCATCAAGTTTATAAATGGCCAGGTACAATGGCTCATGCCTGTAATCATAACACTTTGGGAGGCAAAGGTGGGAGGATAGCTTGAGCCCAGGAGTTCAAGACCAGCCTTGGCAACATAGTGAGACCCTGTTCTCCACAAAAAGGGTAGAAGAATTACAAATAAATATACTGTTTAACCCATGAATTCCACTTCTAAGATTTTATCTTGGACACATGTCTGCACATATGTAAAATGACATTATTTATATAGCAAAGACTGGAAACAACCTGTATGTCTACAAACAGTAGACTGGTTCAATTCTAGTGTATCAATAAAATGGAAAATTATTAAAAAGATAAAGTATTCTACACACTGGTATGGAAAGTTCTCTAAGATGCACTACTAAGTGGTAAAGCAAAGTATGCATTATACACCATTTAAGTAAAAAGGGGTGTGTGTTATACATAGGTACTTGCTTATATATATAACTAACCAGAAAGTTTTGTTTTTGTTTTTTTGGAGTGGTCTGACTGTGTTGCCCAGGCTGAAGTGCAATAGCTATTCACAGGCACAATCCCACTACTGATCAGCAAAGGAGTTTTGATCTGCTCCACTGAGGATTTTTAAACTTATATTACCTATGAGTAGCTAGAATACAGAAATAAGATACTTTTTACTGTATACTCTTTTACATTTTATTTTTGAACCATGTGAATTACCTATTCAAAAATTAATTTTTATAAAAAATAAATCCTGGACAATCAAAAATTATTTTTTTAAAAAAAGCATTAAATAACTTACTGCCAGCAATTTTTTTTTTTTTTTTTTGAGATGGAGTCTTGCTCTGTCACCCAGGCTGGAATGTAGTGGTGCGATATTGGCTCACTGCAGCCTCTGCAACTCCCAGGTTCAAGCAATTCTCCTGCCTCAGCCTCCCCAGTAGCTGGGACTACAGGCACGTGCCATCACGCCTGGCTAATTTTTTGTATTTTTAGTAGAGACGGGGTTTCACCATGTTAGCCAGGATGGTCTCCATCTCCTGATCTAATGATCCACCCACCTCAGCCTCCCAAAGTGCCAGGGTTAGAGGCCTAAGTCACTGCATCCAGCTGCCAGCAATATTAAGTAGCAAAATCAGGACTCAATGTGGATATCAAATTAATTATATTTAAACAATATTTTAAGATTTTTAAAATGTCAACTAAAACAAAGAATTTTAATTCACATACTCTTTTCAACTTACCAATTCCTGTGATCTCTTTTTTGATCAGCTGTAACTCCATGTGTTGTATTTTTATTCTTACTAATAAGAAGTAAATTTTTCCAACAATCACATCCTTTAAATGATACCTATTAAGAAAGAACATATCTCACTAAATATCAGTCTAAAACAAGCAAAAAGAGTGAAATACATCCTAAAAGACTTTGATAGACACATTTAGTCTAATTATTTAAGAATACTATTTTCAGGCCAGGCATAGTAATCCTAGCACTCTGGAAGGCTGGGCCAGGTGGATCACTTGAGGTCAGGAGTTCAAGATCATATTGGCCAACATGGTGAAACCCTGTCTCTATTGAAAATACAAAAATTAGCTGGGCGTGATCCCTGCTACTTGGGAGGCTGAGGCGGGAGGACTGCTTGAACCCACGAGACGAAGGCTGCAGTGAGTCAAGATCACACCACTGCACTCCAGCCTGGGTGACAGAGCAAGACTCCATCTCACAAAAAAAAAATAAAGCAAGCAAGCAAGAAAAAAAGTACTATTTTGAGCTCTTTCCCAGCCACGACTGAGTTGCATGGAGATGCCAGCTTGGGCACATTCAAGATTCAGTTTCACTCACCTGCATGGCTGAGGAAGGCACTGCTGCTAGAGACATAATGACATTAATACTGCTTTACAAGAGGTGCTGAAGACCACCCTCATCCATGACGGCCTAGTATGTGGAGTTCACAAAGCTGCCAAAGCCTTAGACACGCATCAAACTCATCTTTGTGTGCTTGCAGCTAACTGTGATGAGCCCATGTATGTTAAGTGGATGGAAGCCCTCTGTGCTGAACCCCTGCTGATGACAACAAGAAACTGGGGAATGGGTGGGCCTCTATAAAATTTACAGTGAGGGGAAACCCCGTAACGTAGCTGGTTGCAGTAGCGTAGTAGTTACGAACTATGGCAAAGAGTCTCAGGCCAAGGATGTCATGGAAGAATACTTCAAATGAACAAACAAAACTTTGGCTCACCAAAAAAAAACAAAAACAAAAAACAACAACCATTTTGATTACTCATATTGTTTAGTGTTCCTTTTTTTCAAAAAAGTATTCATCATTTCACTATGCAAATAAGGAATCAAACTTTTACTTGACCATCAATGTACCTCAGATGGAATAATTAGCATGGTTAACTGTTGTTGTTCCAGCTGGGCTCACAGGATTGCTTGAGCCCAGGAGTTTGAGACCAGCCTGGACAACACAGGGAGATGTAATCTCTGCTAAAAATTAGCTGGATGGTGCAAAATTTGTGGCACATGTCTGTGGTCCTAGCTACTCAGGAGGCTGAGGTGAGAGGATAGCTTGAGCCTGAGAGATTCAGGCTGCAGTGACCCGTAACTGTACCACTGCACTCCAGAGCCTGGGTGACAGGGCAAGACTTTTTCTCCAAAAAAAAAAAAAAGTTTGAAATATTTGGTGTATGAAGATATTTTCAATATTAAAAGACACAAGAGTTCCCTGGTGGTCTAGTGGTTAAGAAGAAAAAAAAAAGTAAAAAAAAAACCACAAGAGTTTAGTGTCATTATTACTCTAAGTGCTAGAACAGTGCAGCTAACATAAATAATCTGCCCACAAAGAGAAAGTAAAGGAGACTACCTATATAGGTTGAGTCTGCTGTTGTAATATCTAATAACCAAAGGTTGCTCCCACATACCTCGAAATGATGTGGTAGTAAACCTAGGGATCCCTATAATACCCAGAGGACTTTTTAGCCTCCTCCCAGGTTTGGCTCTCAAAATTAGATGTCAATACTTGATTAATGTTATATCAGGCCAGGCGTGGTGGCTCACACCTGTAATCCTAGCACTTTAGGAGGCTGAAGCAGGTGGATCACCTGAGGTCAGGAATTCAAGACCAGCTTGGCCAACATGGTGAAACCCCGCCTCTACTAAAGCTACAAAAATTAGCCGAGCCTGGTGGCACACGCCTATAGTCTCAGCTACTCAGGAGGCTGAGGCAGGAGAATCGCTTGAACTCAGGAGGTGAAGAGGCAAAGATTGCATTGAGCCGAAATGTTGCCACTGCACTCCAACCTGGACAAAAGAGAGACTCCATCTCAATATATATATATATATATATATAAATGATATATATATTTTATATATTAATATATGTAATATATAAATATATATATCATATATTAATGTATACAATATATATAAAATATATATAAATATATATATATTATATAATATAAATATATTTATATATATATATAAAATTTAAGATTCTGAAGGCGTGTATATTACATTTTGGGGATATAAACCTGGGAGTGACGAACAAGAAAAATATACCTCAGGAAACTGGGGTAGGAGGGTGATAATACAAGGTACACCCATTTCTTCAACAAACAAACTTTAATAAAAAAATAGAAGGGAAACTTGTAAGTTAAAAAATTTAAGAGTTGCCGGGCGCGGTGGCTCAAGCCTGTAATCCCAGCACTTTGGGAGGCCGAGGCAGGTGGATCGCGAGGTCAAGAGATCGAGACCATCCTGGTCAACACGGTGAAACCCCGTCTCTACTAAAAATACAAAAAAAAATTAGCTGGGCATGGTGGTGC